TTATCAATCATAGACATAGACTGATTCCATAAGTCATAGTTTTCGCTCCTCGGTTTTTCGGCTTTGTCGGACTCGTGAGCGACAAAAACTCTGACAGAGAGCGACCTGGGACCGACTTATGGCATCAGTCTACCATAGACATATTCTTTGAAGTTCATCTACTAAATAATGATATATCATTGAACAGATTGGATTCCTTCGCCGTGGCAAGGATGGTTCAACTTCACTGGCATTTGTAAACCCTGACAGTGCTAAAGGTATTTTTAAAACTCTTTCCTGCGCTATTCACATACACGCGAGGAATCACTAAAAATTTTCGACATCAAAACATGGGAAGATAAACGGATGATACAAGGTTTTCTAACATTATTTATGCCAAATTTAGAAGTGTACACATTGTCAAGTTAACTACTTTTGAGTCATGTTTTTTTTTTGCATGAAGATGTTTTTAGGTTTATTTCTATAAGAACCTGTTTTAAATTTGAGGCTAAATAGAACGATTTCACATAACCGGATAAAAAATGCTTATGAGGATCAATTTATGCTAATAGACATTACACGATGACTGGCTTGTATCAAGTTGTTGTCCATGTTTGCAAAAACTAGATACAAAAGTGTTTTGATTTTTTTTCGCGTACGAAGTGTTTTTCCTTAGTGTGCACGTTGGATGCTTGTAAAAGCAAATAAATGTTTTATTTGTGCAATTTTTGCTCTTTTGTTGTCGTTTTGGACATGTTACAGATAAACAGAATTAACGTCAACACATCTGTACGTCAAATAAGTAAAGCGTTCATCAATATCCTTGTTTTTCCCCGTTTAATATCGTGTAATGTGTATTAGCATAAATTGATTCTCATTAGCATTTTTTATCCGGTTATGTGAAATCGTTCTAAYATGTTCTTATGTAGCCTATGTAAATGGGGTCTAAATTGATATTTTTAGGCTAACAGGTTCTTATATTGTAGGTTCTTATAAGCGGGTAAGTACTGTTTCTCAAACTCGCCCTGTTTTAGTAAACTAGATGATTTCTTTGCAGAGTCTCTGCCAGTGAACCTTGGTACAACGGCAGGTAAAGTAAGTACAGGCTCGCAAGTTACCACGGGGTTTAAAGAAGATAAAAAAAACAAGGCTACCCCTGGTGAGTCCATCCCTTCATTCATTTTGTCATTTAAACATTTGTCCAACATTCATTCATGAAACTATTGGTTTCTGCTCGTTCTATGGTGTTATAACTTCAAAGTTAAAGGGACACTGTCAATGGATGACATGCGCAGTAACAGTCTCACCTCTAGCGGACTTTGAAAGTATAACCTTCGAGGTAAATCATTTTGTGGTGCTTTTGACACACTTTGGAATATTCTAGATCTGTTTACGTTTATGATCTGATTTATGTCGCGCCAACTTGGAATCATAAACTTGAATTACACTAGCCTAGTGTTTTCAAGTTTACTCGCGCACAGAGGAGGGAACAGTAGTACCCCACAATGCATTGCGTTTCAGACTATATTATCGGTTTTTATATGACGTCATCACTTGTTTTTGGTCTTGGCCGAGTGAAGATCAATGGCGGGAAACTTTGACCCGTTCGCCAATTTCATCTCTAGAATTTCGATTATAGAGATGAAAATCTCAAAGATTCTTCTTTTTTATATATTCATTGTATAAGTAAGAACAATTTTCAAGTATCGACAAAAAGAATT